TTGGTCCACTTTTAAAACAAAAGACTCCTTCCAGTCCTTACCTACTGTATTTTGGTCCTTCCTTCAAAAAGCTCAAAAGTCCAAAGGTGACTTAGGACTCGGTGCACTTAAAAAGGGCCAGGAAGAATTTTTAAAAATTGCAAACCCATTTTCATTCTTCTGCAGTACAGACAAGTAACTTTTTAAGAGGTCAAGCTGCAGTCATTCTAAAATGCCATTTCGGCATTGCTGGAGGGGTGGGCTTCACCAATGCCAGAAGAGCGAGGCCGGGCGCAGCAAGAACATGACCATGCGGCACACACAGGCTTTCCCCCGCTCTTGCCAGGTGGCTTGTAGCTCAGGCCAAAGCTGCTGCTGAAGCATGAGCTGGATCCCCACATTGCAACAAGCCCCCCGAGAAAAGCAGCCCTTAACCGCCCAACAATGGCCACACAATGGCTCTTGGGGCGGCTTGTACATGCTTAACAAGCTACACTGAATTGTCTGTCCCAGGTCCAGAGGCCACGATAAGGCTCACAGGGCTTCTGCTGATGTGTGAACCAGGTTGTGCAAAGCCACATGATGCCCTCTTTCACTTTTGCACATGCTCGTGAAACAAGAGCCTCTACTCTCTCCCAAGTACACACATAAGAGAGGAAACATGAAGACAGATGGTCGAGAACACAGGAGGAGCCCTGCTGGATCAGAGGAAGGGTGCATCCAGCCCAGTCCACATAGGGACCATCCAGCTGCCCACAGGAAACCCACAAGTGGGACGCGACTGCAGCAGCCCCCTCCCACCCCTGCCTTCCACGCTGCCTCTGACACCGGAGACAGAACTTGGACATCAGGATCAATAGCTATCGATAGCCTTATCTTTCATTAGCTAATCCAATCCTCTCTTAAGGCCATGGAAATTGGTGGCTACATCTTGTGGAAGAAAATCCAACCGTTTAATCAATGCACTTAAAAATCATAAAGTCATATAGCTGAAAGGGATTTAGCAGGCCATCAGGTCCACTCAAGTTTCCCATCCAGATTTCAACCAGGCTGAACCCTCCTTAGCTTCCAAGATTAGGCAGGATCAGACACTTCATGCTGTAAGGAAACATAGTATTTTCTACAGAAGTACTTCCTTTTATCTTTCTCGATTTAATCTCCCACCAGTTGGCTTCTGGGGATGATCTCAAGTTCTCCTATTACAAGAAAGGAGGAAATGCTTTTCTGTCTGCTTTTTCTACACCATGCATAACTTTCTACACCACTATATCTCCCTTTACTCATTCTTTTTCTAAGCTAAACAATCCCAGTCTTGGAACCTTCCCTCACTGGGCAATCATTCCAGTGCTCTGGTTGTTTCCTGTACCCCTTTCAGCTCTACCATATTCTTTATTTAGGTGTTGTTACCCAAAACTGTACACAGTATTTTAAATGTGGCAGCATCATAACCTTGTATAACAACCAAAATGGCCTTGGCAGTTCTATTTTCACCTCCTTTCTTAATGATGCCTAACATAGAATTTGGCTTTTTCACAGTAGCCACACACTGGTGTGACCTTTTCCCTGAGCTGCCACCACGATCCTCACATCTCTGTCTTGATCAGTCATTGCTATGATAGATTTAAGATCAGGAAGTTGGGATTTCTGGCTCCAACAAGTATAACCTCGTACTTGCCAACACTGAACCACATTTTCATGTCGATGCCCATTCTGCCAGTTTGGAGAGATCCTTGTCATCCTTTCCTTGGGTTTCTCTCTTGGCTTACTACCTCTTAGGATGTCTGGTGCTCAAGGGCAGCTGCTGAGAAGGTCAAAGGAGCTGGTCTGAGTCGGATCCTCTGCTGCCTGCCGCAGGCTTGGGAAGCGGGAGGATCTCTTGGACCATAGCTTATATAACAACATAAAAGAGCCACGAGGCGAGTGGATTGCTCTTCCTGGAAGCAACCAGGGACTAGTTAGAAGCAACAAACACTTTCTCTGGCTGGAGGAGAGAAAGGCCACAGTCTAGAATAATGTTGCACAGCTTTAAGAAAAAAGGCAACAGTTGTTTAGAAGACAGAATTTGTGTGATGAAATCTTGCCACCTTGCTACACTTGATCAGCAAAGGGGGACAGAAGTAAGAGGCAGAAGCCCCCTTCCCAAACTCCTTCGTAAAGCAAAATATAAGGAGTGGGCCAACAGCACACCTGACACTGCGCTGCTTCCTCCATTGCTCCATTGGTGAGCTTGGGTTCAGTGAGGGCCGGATCTAAAAATGCTTAGCTGCCCCACTGTTGGTGCAGATGTCCAGGGTGGCAATGCCTGTGCGCGGAGGCTTTGCTGGGGCCTCAAAAGCTGCACAATCAGCATTCTATGTCCGCGGAGGTCTAAGCATGCCTTTGCAATCAGAATGGCAAGGTCTGTGCGCTTTTTCCTTCGTGGGATTTCTAAGTCAAGAGCCAATTCAACTCAACACTACCCCCTTCACCTATCCTGTGCCTCCCAGTGACAATGAAAGGACGCTGCTTCCTTCATCTGTGCGTGGAGATGCAACCGTCTCCTGCACAGCACTGTTATTCCTGCCTGTGGGCTTATAGAAGTTCTGTGCCAAAGGGCTCCATGTACACACCGCTCATTTCCTCTTCGACTATAGGAGAAAATTTTGTTTTGTATCTGGAGTTTGAGCCACATGATATGGAACAGGGACGTGCTGGATGTTCTCCAACTTCCTTTGTATAAACATTACTTCAGCACGTCAGCAAGGAGATGAATCCCAGAGTGCTAAGTCCAGCCTAAGACAAATGATCTGTAGTTTTAAGCACAGTTGTATGGAAATAAGTTCCATTCGTTCCGGGGGGCCTTGAGTATAACTTTCTCTGGATCTCATCCAGTGTGTTTGCAACTGGGGTGGCCATTTTAGGTTCCCTTCACTTGATGACACATCTTTATTCTGTAGGAAGGCTTTTTTTCTAGGAGACCAGGAAAGAACTGAAAACCCACTGGAGCTGAAAGAACAAGACAAGCCAGCTGAAGTTATGAGAAAGAAAAGTTGCTGTACTGTCTGGCTGTGTACTACGAAGCCCATGTGTTATGGGATTCTAAAAGAAGGAAGAAAGGGAGTGGGGAGGGATGGAGGGGGAGGGGGAGAGAAAGAGCAGGAAACATCTCACAAGGAGATAATAAACCCACTAAGAATACGAAGTGGATTGGTATTCTGAAACATACTTTGGAAGATGGCTGCCCTTCTATTAAATTGATTTCAAGAAACCCACTGTCAATAGCTATAAAATCTACAGGCAACTAGTAGCCTGAAGAGATTGATATTTTACTATATCTTCAAAGAAATAATCAAATATATCTGATCTAGAACTCACTGTCTATCAAAAGATCTTTGAGTCTTATATATATGGATACTGTGGTAAATCAAACTTTGCTCAAACAATTCCTCACTCACACAGCCTGGTATTTGCATCACATTTAATTGATACCATCCCTCCCTCATCCATTTCTATTCTTTCAGGCTTCCTCCTATGTCCAGTATGATTAGAAAATATAGAAATTCTTATCTTCTTCCTCCATTCTGACCTTACATCATCCTCTTCCCCTTCTCCTCCACCTCCTCACCCTCTTCCTGCTTCATGGGAAAGACCTTCCAGTCCTTTCCTTCAGCACTGGAAAAACAGCGGTCTTCCCTCCTGAAGCTCAGACATCCCCTTTTCACCTTATTTCTTCTGGGTTTGTATTTTGGTTGCACCAAGGGCAACGTCCTTAGGTATCCCTTCTGGCAATGGCTTCTCAGTGAAGGTAAGACTGAATGATCCATCTTGTGCCTTTTCAAACACACTCAGTAAAGAAGCAGCAATGGTGGATCTTTCCTTATACATTTGGCAATGGCAGTCTTTGGGGGCGGTTATTGTCACAGCCCATGCTGCAATATGTAAGGACCCTCCCACCCCCACAGCCCTCTCCCAGCATGTCGGGTATCCACTCTGAGCAAATGCAGGAATGACACCAGCAGGGTTTTGAGGAGACACATGGCTGCTGGTGGAAGAGATCAGTACCACCGTCACGCATGCTGCTTCTCTGCTCATGATCCTTGCCTCCTGAAGCTGCTTGTTACTAAGTCATACTGAGCAAATGTGAAATGGATTTGCATGTAATCGCTAGTCCGGCTCATCCCTACTTGCTTACCTAGTTGTATGCTTGTACCCTTCCTCATCCAGCCCATATGAGATGGTTATAAATCTGGTTGTGTGGAAAGTCAGATTAATGTCAGTGATGTTCCCTCACCTTTCCTTTCCTCTCCCGTTTCATCGCCATCCAGGGATTTTGAAGCACTTGGAATTTTTTCTGCTCTGGGTAAATCTAATCAGTTATTTTCTATTTACAAAGGGGAAGCGGCATGACTTCCTTTGCAGGCCTATTGGGAGGAAAATGATAATGAGGGCTACAAAGCAGATGATGCCTCAGTAACTGTACCCTAGGAACAAGACAGTTCATCATTTAATTATTATAATAGCAAAGGCTGGAAAATGCATTTATAAATATATACATGCAAGCTCCTAGTCGTGCCATGTGCAACTCTACTATGAGTCCAGTTCCTTTAATCTCTGCTGGAATTCAGCTACTGGTTTAATAGCATCATAAAAGCAATGGCTGTCCTTTATGAGAAGCCAAAGAAGAGCCCCAGGGCCAGATCCATGGTTCAGGTAGACCAGTATTTAGTCTCTGGTGATGTCCAATGCTGGATGTTCCAGAGAGGCTGCCAGGAAAGCAGCAGGCTTCCATCCTGTGTGTTCCTGATCTGGCACCCAGCTTCAGGAGGTCCAGAGAGAAACCATTTAGGGCTGTTCCTGAGCAATACTGACATTTTCATTCACAACATAAAGGAATTTCCCAGGAAGGATGGATTGGAAGGACAATATGCTGCTTTCATCCTTTCCTTTCACTGGATCTTTAATTCCAGTGGTTTCCACCCAACCATGATGTAAGGTCCCTCACCGAGTCAGTTGGGTGCCTCTGTTCCCCTTCTGTTACAAAATTAAATCTCACTTTCTTCAAAGAAGTCTTCTATTGTCTCCCCAGCAGTGAATTCCCCTTCACTGCTGTCTGAAATGCTTCTTCTGGGATCGTGCCTTAACGTGGGGCTTAGCTCCACCATGCAGCCTGTTCTCTGTTTTGTCACTTGCATGCTCCGTGGCTGAGACACCTCCAGGGATAAGCAGTTATTGCTCAAATGCTGTTTCCTTGGACATCTCCCCAGGTGCTTGATGTTCTTTCCAAGTAAGCACGGCATGCAGACAAAGGGGTATGCCAGCAAGAAACGGGACCACTGCTTGCGCAATTCCGCTTTTACCTAGAAAAACAAAGGACACAAGCTGTGCCATTGGTATGATGTACCACATGTTATAAATGCTTCACTGACGGTTCTAGAACATTTGATATCCAAACAGCATAGCTCTCTGGCTAGCTATAGCCAAATGCAGATGTTCTCCATCAACGCTGCATTACATCAGTGGGGTGTGCATTTGGATGCGTATTTCAATTTGTCAACCACATCTGCTTTCTGCCCTAACTATCCAACTACACATGAGCGAGTCAGCCTGGTTGCCCTAGTAATGGAGATACAACATGCAGTTGGCTTGCATGGCATGATGGAGTTTGTGGTCGGTTATTTAATCCACGACAAGGTGTGGAACCTGTGAGAAACAATTTGCTTATCAAGTTCCTATCTATTCTCATGTGCAGCCCAACAGCTGTGGATTGTGCGAGGATCAAGCAATGCTCTCAAACAACCATGTTAAAAAATGGTCTCCTTTGGGGTTCTGTGAGGGTTGTTTAGCCCTTGTATAACCTACGCATGCTGGGTTTGCATGGCATGGCAACCCCTGAGAGGCAGTTGGTGGGTTGCAGCTCACCCTCTCCATCCCCTTGCAAACAGTTCCACACCTTTTTGCAAAGTGAGCTGAAAAAGCACTGAATCCTAGAACAGTAGAGTTGGGGGGCCATTGAGTCCAGCCCCCTGCTCAATGCAGGACTCCAAGCTAAAGCAGCCCTGGCAGACGGATGTCCAGTTGCCTCTCGGATGCCTCAGATACATGAGAAGAGGACCCATTCACAGGCTCCCAGCTGAGCTCTGCTCCAGTCTGCTGCCTAGGACAGGTCCCCATGTGTGGAGTTACTCAAATATAATGTACTGGCCTGATGTTTGACATGACAGACGGACTAACTTATCGCAGGCAGATCAGTTCACCGGGAGCTGCCCCACCTCACTCTTTCACGCCATGAGCTGCGGTCTCTAACTACCACAAGGCACATTACGGCAAGCAAGAGTGCCTCTTTAATCAGAGGCTGTCCTCGAAAAAAATCCAGGCAATCACCCTGAGCATCACTCGGGTTTAAGTGTGGGCTGCACAAGCCTCTCTCTCCCAGGGCATATCCTAGGAGGAATAGGTAGTCAGAAATAGGGATATGAGCACAATAACTCACCTCGCCATTAGAGAAACAATATAAAAGTGCCACAAAAAAACCCTGGGAATAGAGAGAGAGAAGGTAAATTAGATTTGAGTGGAATTTTCCAAAGTACAAGTCAACTCTGACTTCTTAAAAACACCTGAAACCTGAGCCATCATGAGGCTAAATTGAACATTAATGTAACTAGCTTCCTATTACTCAAGAATCATCTTTGTGTTTGAGCAACCATGTGACAAGGCATCAAAGCCACATCCACATCCAATAATTTGTTTTATTTGCTTTGAACAATTTTGCTTGAGGAAATGTCTGGCTTTTAAACCACTAAAGGCAATCCGATGAAATATATGTTTTTCCTAAACGGTGCTTTTTGGATTAGGCTGTGCAGGAAAGGTTGTAGTCCAAAGTTTACAATAAAATTATGTTTATGCCCATAATGTTAATTTTTCCAGGAACGTGCATGCAACACCTTGAAAGATCAGCGTCAAATTTAGCCAGCATCACAAAGGATTAGCTCACCTTCCCCCACTCTGCACACATTTATTTTTGACTCGGAGAGCAATCTTACAGTTCCTGGGCGAGCATCAGTCACCCTGGGCATGCACTGGTAGGCCCCAGGCAAGAGTGAGTAGGGTCCGTGGGCAACTAACCATAGGACTGTTGCTTTCCCTGCTTCTGAGGTCGGAGAAAGCTCTCCAGCCTCAGAATGGGCAGTCCTCCTCTCTCACCCGCTCTCAGCCAGCACAGAAAACACTGTGCTGATTCCCCTCCGAGATCAGATAAGTGACCTCAGAGGAGGAAGAAATGGTGCACTCCATGGGTGGGAGGAGAGGAGACCAGAAAGGCCAGAATTCGGATTACGCAGGACCCCCTCCAGCTCCTCCTGCTCCAAATCACCCTTAATAGAATGGCTGAAAACCTCATCTGGTGAAATCTGCAGAGCAGGACAAGGAGCTGCGGACTAGACGATCAGATACCTCTGAGTTTAGGCGAATCTCATCACCAAGGGCATGGCCAATAGGACTGCATCCTTGCATGTTGAAAAATGCCATATAAGAACCAGCTATATTAGACTGGTTGCACAGGGTTTCTGGCAACTGGAAGGAAGTGAAGACATCCAAGTCTTGAAGAATTGGTCTCCAAGCAGATTTATATACGAAGCTTGAAAGATGATGAATAATTCCCAACAAAAATGAATTGATGGCACCCTTTTACTTATTCCAGATGTCTCACTCTTTGGAACTAAGCAAATTTGAAAGTGTATTTTAGCAGCGGATAATCAGTCGCTTGTGAAATATGAGCAATCCTATTATATTTGTAAATTAGTAGAGAAAGCAAATGTCTTGAGAATGATAGTTCATAGATTCTAAATCTTTTTTCCTGAAAGTTCTTCCCTGAATTGCTTTTCACTCAGCAAGCCCTCCAAACAATATAGCCAATTCCCTGAACTTGCTCATATTCGTTTGCAAGCTTTTTCCAGTTCTCCATGTTCCAGAAAACTTTGTACTTAGCCAGTCTTAAGCACTGGATACCAAAGAGGATCCTCTAATTCAGAAATATGACTGGTTTGCTAAGATGACTTGAAGCAGAAGACTACCTGGAATGCAGAAGAACAAAAGCAGAAGAATGAGGTGGTTGAATGCTGAGGTGGTAGAATGGATTATAATGCTTCTTACAGCAGGTGGTACATTCCTAATTTAATGCTCCTCTGTGGCTGTCATTTTTAAGAAAGGCTCTTGACCAGCTTGCTCTGGTTTTCCTATTTGTAAAACATTTTGTATACAGGAGCAGGTCTGTCCCTTCCATAGGGCAAAGTGAAGCAATCACCTTAGGCAGCAAATCTTGGAGGCAGCAGCAGCAAGATCCAGGAGGAACTTGCTGTGGACCATGTAGCCTGCCCTTCCCACTAAGCTAACCTGATACTTTCAGGTGCGGTGGAAGACACACCGTCCCATTGCCAGAGTCAAAGAAAGAACTGGCATTCTGCTGGCTTGGCTGGCTTTTGTCCACGGAATGAGAGGAGGTGCCAACTTCTCCTTCACCTCCTCCTCCTCCTCCTGGCGTCATGCAGAAGAGCAATCAACAGTGCGATTCTCCAGCTGCACTCTGCCGTCGGATACACCACTCTGCCACCTCAGAACTCCTATTGCCTCTGGATGTGTGGATCAGGCCCCAGCGGAAAGGCTCAGAAGTTTCCGAGGGGCTGTAGAGAAGAGAATGCGGGGAAGAGGCAATCCTCTCAGACAGGTAGCAAGGAACAAGCATAGCTTAGGGTGGATGGTGGCCAGATAGAAAGAGACTGTAGTGAGACTGCACCGCAGGGGTGGGCAGATTGTTACGGGACTTTCGGTGCATCAAGGGCTGAACTGAATGATGCTCAAGGAATTTGAGAAAAGACAAAAAAGGAGGCGGGGCCTCAGTTACTGTATTAGCCACCACGGTGCTCATGTGTGCAAGCGGAAAGGATGGGCATTTAAAAAGATACGTTATGGCATGAGATGAAATCAGGCAACTGAAGTGGGAAGGCTATGTTTGTTCTTTACCCAAGAAATAAATTATATGTGGGTCATTATTGCAGATAACAACAACCAGCCTTTCATATAAGAAGTTACCAGAAGAAATCAAGATTTTAGATTGTTGCATTTTTTTAGAAGTGAGATTAATCATACAATGGAAATGAGTAAGATATGTTTCAGAGTTACAAACAGAAGCTCAGCCAAGTCTTGCAGATGTGGGTTCTCTCTGCAAATTTTATTCCTATTTGGGGACGATGCCTGGCAACAGAAATATATTAGAATGCAATAATTCAACGGACTGGAGACTTGGCCGAGCACAAATGATCAGTAATCTACTAACAGGCCTGCAGTCAGGCTAAAAGTTCTGAGGGAACGCCAGAAAAGTAGGGAAGGTGGTTCAGCTGTTTTGCAGGCCCTTTAAAGAAAAACACTGTAACATGTTTTTAATTGATTCTAAAAATATTTATGAAAGTCAGAGAAAATTTAGGTGGTGCAGGTCTACCAATGCCTCCCCCGCAAGCTGGATACTGGATGCCATCTACACAATTCTGTAATGAGAAATTTAATTGAACCATATTTTAAAATTTTTATCAATAGACTAGTTTTTTCCTCTCCACTTTATAGTATTAGTATGATGATGTTGGTAGTGACCTTTTCTTCATTTTGTCATACATATTTCATGGAATTGATAATGAAATCTGTTAATCAATCTACAGTTTACTTAATAATAACAATAATCCAGGTTATCTAAAGCAAGGCCTCTTCCCACATGTGTCTACCTGGACCGTGACCTTGTCATCTGAGGACCTTTCTAGGGAGCCCCCTCTGAAGGAAATTAAAAGGGGGGTAAGAGAGGAAGGTCCTTTTCAGTGGTGGCACCCTGGCTTTGAAATCAACTCCCCAAAGAGCTTCACCTAGTGCCTTCTCTCTAGTCTTTTTGACACCAGGCAAAAAAAGTTTTATTCAATCAATATTTTAATAGTTAAAATAATCTTTAAAATAACTTTTTATCCTTTTATCCATATGGTATTTATTATATTTATTGCTACTATACCCCTGGATTAACTTGAGTTGTGGCTGCTGTGGGGTTTTTGCAGTTTCCTACTGTTGTTATGTTGTTGATATATTATGTATGTTTGATTTAATATTTTTGTTTTTATTGTGTATGTTATCTGTCATGATTTTATAAACCTTCTAAATATCCTTCAGCCAATGGGAAACCTTATCGACAAAAGATATAAAATTTACAGGTATTCAAGCACTAAGAGAAAATTGGTACAAGATGTTCTTTCGTTGGCATTTCGTTGGTATTGAGAAAATGAACAAGAATTATAATGGAAAGTCCTGGAAATGCAAGGATGTGGATGAGACTTTTTTACCATATGGAAGGTCAAAAAAAATTGGAAAGAAATGCATGTTGAAATACAGAGGAAAATAGAGGAAAATTAGCTTTCCTATAAACACTAAGAATATGCTATTGAGTACTGTGCCAGAAACTCTTCCAAGAAACATGGAAGAATTATTTAAATATATGATAGAGCAGCTAGAGTTACAATTGCAACCAAATGGAAAGCAGAAGATTGCCCAACTGGAAAAATAAATTAACAGAGAATGCAGTGATGGCAAAATTAACCAGCTATATATAGAAGACCGGCCAAAGAATTTAGTGATAAAAGGAATGCTTAGTATACTTAACAATTCAGAGAAAAAATAAAATATCTGTAAGAATGACCTAGCCGATACATTTACTAATCCGCTATATTTAGAAGACTGGTTTAAGAATTTTATTAGCAATTAAAAGTGTTACTATTAAGTATTATGTATACAATGATCCGATGAGTATAATTGGTATACGAATTTAACTTTTTTCATTATGATATTGTTTTATCTAGTAAAAAAGGGAAAATCAATTATTAATTGCTGGTAGGTTTGTGGACATATTATAAGGTGAATTATTATTTACTTGATAGCCATTTAAAAGCCTTTTTTGTAATAACCAAGTCAAAATTGTAATTACAACATTGATAGAAGTAATAATAATTATTGACTTTTTGTGTAATTTCTCTCAGTGCTATATGTAATGTCTGTGTAAAGTCTTTTGGTATCTTTTTCTTTTTTTCATGTTGCTTTCTCTTTGTTTTTTCATTCTTTCTTTTAATTATAGAAATAAAAAAATTAAAAAATGATTTTGTAAACTGCCCAGAGAGCTATTTTGGCCACTGGGTGGTGTAGAAATTAAACAGACAGACAGACAGACAGACATTCCCATTTCATCACATTTCAAGAACTTACATGGAAGGAGCTGAAGGTCAGGTGAATGAAGGTTTTGATATGCCTGGAAAGGCCTTCTATTTGTTCATCAGTGATGAAGCTAAAGACAATCTCATGAATCCCAAGTAAGGGAATTAGCACAAGCGTTGATCTTGCCAATCTTAAAATAACAATAACAAAGAATTATATGCTTGAGGCAGAACACATTAAGACATACAAATGGAATCATGATAACATCAGGCCATTTCCTTGCAACATTAACACTAAGAAACCCTCATCTATAAATCATTTTCATAGAGATATTCAAGGCTCTTTTTGAAGGATTCTTAAAATACTCCTTAAGGATTCAAAGATAAGTATGCTTCATGGAGGGGAACATTCCATCATGAAGTTTCACCTGAAGCAATAGAGCCCAGACACTGTTGTATTCCTTTAGGACACAATCCTATTGCGGCTAGGCGCTGTCTAGCCAAGCCAAGGGACATGCTCCAACCTCAGAAGCATCCTCTGAGGACACAGCTGGGGTTCTGACTGCCAAACACCATCGCGCTACCCTTGCAGCCAGCTTGGTTCTTTCCAGGGTCGGAAGACTTGACCTTGGAACTGGTGTTGCGGAGGCTTTCTGGGGGGCGGGAAGGGGAAGACTCTTCCTCACAAGCCAGGGCACAAGAACTAGACGGCTGGCATCAGCCACCACACTTCTCCTGCCCTTGATAAAATGCCATAATCCTTCAGGTTCAGAGGGTTATAGGTAGCCACGTTGGGTGGCACTGCCTGGGATTGGACACTGTAGCTAGATGGCATGCAGGAAATTCATAACATTGTGAGGATTTAATCCCAAACCTGTTCAGAGTACTTTTCCATTCTTAACCTTAATAGACCTTTTAAGGCAATTTCTAGTTTGTACATTTAATGTTAAGTTCTTTATAAAAATGGCAGTTCCGCCTTGTAAGTGTGAATGCAGCAGATTATGAAATTCCATTTTTCGCTTAAACCTTGTTCGAAGGCTAAATTGATTAGTACATAACTGGGAATTGAGTACTTACCTGAATTTGTAATCCTGAAAGCTCATTTGCTGGGCCTTAAGTTTGGAAAGCAGCAGCTTCATAATGTTTAGGAAGATGTAGAAATTAACCTTCAGAAAATCACACATCTTGGTTAGTTTGTGTATATACACTGAATATATTTCTGCCTGTCCTTCTGCCAATAAACAGGCAAGCACTTCTATTGGAAGACATGCCCTTAAAGGGACAATTTAGCTGATCGAGCGATGAAGGATTTTTGGTCATCAGTTTGGACAATATTTGCTGCCTTGCTCTATCTCATTCTGTACTTCCTTTTCTGAAAAAGGGATTCAGCCAGTGCCTGCTCCTGGATTTTGGAGGGCCCTGGGGCAGCACTCCTTCCATGGGGCCTCCCTCTGTTAGTCCCTTTTACCATCAGGGTCACCAGCTGCCTTGACTCATCTGCATCCTCCTTCTTGGCCTGAGTCTCTGGCAGGCAGAGATCCAGGGAGCAAGCAGGCTGTGGCGTCTGCTGCTCCTCTCTCTCACCTTCACCATTGTCTGGGCCAGAGGAAGAACAGGTAAGCCAATGAGTTGCCGTGGTGAAGAGGAGGAGCCAGGCCAGGGGTCTTGTTATTGGGTCCCTGCTCTTCAGCAGGTGCCCAGCTAGACACCCTATTCTTGATGCTGACCCTCAAATCAACGTTCTTTTGATCCAGGCTAGTCAGAGTTGGGGAGACTGCCCAGGGGAAACAGGGAGGAAGAGGAAGGGTGGTGTTGGAATGTGGGGAAGAGCACTCAAGATTTATACAAAAACCTTGATGTAAGAGAACCAAACATTCATGGTATTCCTGCACATACTTATTTAGAAGTCTGTCTCATTAATTTGAATTATAGCATACAATCTCTCTTTAAACCAGTACCAAGCATGTCAAAAGCATTAGCTTTTCTGTGTATACAAAACTTGCTAGCTCATATTGCTGACTATTTCTTCCTTCCATTTTTGTCCATACAGTTCTTGTTTTCGATTCTTTAGGGTTGGTCATGTATCTTTGCTTATCTAGTGAAATGCAGAGAGAAGCCAGTGTCTCCTTACTGTGAACCAAGAGACAATTCTCCTTGCAAACAGCAATTAAAACAACATGCTATCAAATGGCATGCTGCTGCAATCAAATGACACAAAGATCCTTACGACAATGGAAAGTAATATGGGCCCTCGGATGATCCACCAGACTGCCATGTTGTCATTTGTAGCCCAGCATCTAGGAGCAAGACAAATGTTGTTCTGTCAGCTCAAAACTGCAAATGGAAGACTCCTTTTTAAATTAGAAAAGCATTTTAAAGGGGGCCAGTGGACTTGGTATCAGAGGAAGTATTTCCCGTATCAGAGGCAGTATGCCTATGCACACCACTGGCTGGGGAACATGGGCATGCTGTGGCACTCACATCCTGCTTGTGGGTTCCCCATAGGCGACTGGGTGGCCACCATGTGGGCAGAATGCTGAGCTGGATGGTCCCTGGATCTGATCCAGCAGGGAACATCTTATGAAACTTATGTTGGTTGTGGTGAAAAGCAACAAGTTCACATATTTTATTAAAAGTGCTTAACATGTGGGTAGAGAGGTGAAGGAGGTGGGGCCAAAGATTTAAACAGTACCACTATGCTAGAGCTGAACAGTGCAGTCCTATAAATACAACCCTATAAATGCAGTGCAATCCAGAAGCAGATCACATTGTGCTCAGTAGCACTTACTCTCAGGTTCTTTGCCATAGGATTGCAGCCTAAAACTCTTCCTACCAGTAGCTAAGCCTTAGAAGAGACATTTTAACCTTTCAGAACTGTGCGAAGCTGCATAAAAGCCAGGGGGCCACTAAAGAATTGTGGCTGGGGCAACACAAGTGTGCAATTGGGCATTCTCCAGAGAGCTGGACCTGGTCCCCAAGTAGTTCTAATGGCTGAGCATGCCTCTAGCAAACTTTTGAGACCCTGCACACCCAACAGAGCTCCTGCTGGCTCCAGGCAGTGCAGCAATTCCCCCTTCATAAATCCCGTACATGACAAACTTTCCCCTGGAATAGTCAACACAGCAAGGCTCCACCCTCTGCACAAGAGCATGCCAGTGAAGGCTACCATTTGAGCAGGAGAGTGCTAAACTGAAATGCTCTCCTACAGTTGCTTTGGAAACTAAGCAAGCTTGGCAGGAAACCTGCAGGGGTTTGCAAAGAGTTCCGATCAAGTTACTTGTCAAGATTACATTTGCTCAAAATCAATCCTAAACAGTCCTTCATTGCCAAGCAAGAGAGCACAAGGCATTTCGGCACCCAGCCCCACTAACTGCGGCAGAGCCTCTGATGCTCTTGGCTGCAGCTGATGCAATGCAATTCCTTATTTGTATAATAAGGTTGCTAGTGCAGGCTGAAACAACTGGTGTATATGCAAGCAAAGGACAATGACCCACTTGGGCTCCAGACGTCTATCTAAACTGCCGGTTGCTTGAGAAATGGCTCAGGCTCAGGCTGGTCTTCTCAGAAGCAGCCCCCACTGAGATCAACGGAACTTTCCATCTAGTAAGTGTGCACGGAGCGCAGCCTTAATTCCTTTGCAAAGGAAGCCGCTTAAGACTGGGAGCGATGAGCCGTAGCGTGAGGTCCACAGAGCGGCTGCGCCCCATGCTTCCTCTAGCATGCTGCTGAGAGCAGCTTGTGCCCGCATCTGCTTCAAGTCAGGCCTGGGCCTCTCAGCCTCAGCAATGGCCTGGCTTTAGATGCCTCACGGGCGTTCCGCGGCCAGCTTCACCGCTTCCGATGCGCATCAGAAAGGAGTTAGAACATCGCAAGGTTGGGGAAGGTGTGTGGTTGGCAACGCTCTGCACGCTACAGCTGATCTTGCCCACGGCAAGCTTATAAATGGCTGCAACAGATCAAACGGTTGTCCAGACTCAGCCTAAAGAGCTCCGTGGAAAGGTTTCAGTCCTCACTTTCTGCTGGCAGGCAGTAGGCAAAAAGTGAAACATAACCAAATCAGAGGAGTCATTTTGAGAACTTACCCTTCACGTTCTAGGTGGTATTTTATTATTCCCCAGAAACTTACAAATAGAACTGGAACACCTGGGAGGAAAAATGGAAGGTGAGGATTGTGGCAGGACAGTGTATAATGGGCCTGGTGTTTCTGGGATGAGATTACTACATAAAGATGTGTAAATAATATAGAGGCAAGAAAGGTTACTAAGGATGTGAACAAGGAAAGGGTATGAATTATAATAGCCCCTTTTCTCATGGCTTGTTCATTATGCTCCACCTATGTGGATTTTTTGTTTGCATTGTCAGTAATTTTTCTTTAAGTTCCTAGGTAGACAGCTCCAGCTGATGGTTCATTAAACCAGATTTGTAATCTCTCCAATTTCTGATAGTCTCTTAAGCATGGGAGATCCAGCAATCTTCAAGCTTGCCTGTATAGTCAGAAAAATCAGTTTGAGGCTTCTATCAGCTCACACCCATTTGGGTCTCTACCTGTTTTCAGGTTACTCAGGGGAGAATGTGCACTTCCCCCCATTGCCTAAAGTGTGAAAATTAGTATTTTTCCGGAAATATATATTTCGCAATGCACATTTTCAAAAATTGTATTTTCCAGATTTACAATTGTAAATTCAGAACTCTTTTACCCAAAAGTGTTAATCACTGCATCTACTTTTGTTTTCAATGCAGAACTGAGATCCAGGATCTAAACGGAGAGTTTTTCTTGTTTGTTTTTCTGTTATACAGGTAGAGCTGTAGTATAGAAGAATAGTGCAAATATATGAGCAGAAACAGGACACCCAGAAGCAATGTCCTATTTTCTTGACTCTTAGAAAGAAAAGAATAGTGCTCTAAAAGCAAACAAACAAACAAACCTGGAGACAAAACTGGAGTCTCATGACTCATCTAAAGAATCCTGAACACACAATTAATGTCTTGTATAGAAAAGCTCTCAGAGTTTTGAACATTTCTCAATTCTCACCTCCCAAAAAAATCCCAAACTTGTCCTTCTCCCCTCCTATTCAGATTTCAAATAGAATACATAAATGATGTCCAAGAAATTAAATTCTCATATTTCCTTAAAGTCTCTAAGCAGATAATAGAAGCAGCAAACTTTAAGAAGTGTAGATTTATGCTTTTGGCCTCTTTTCCTTCGATAAGTGAAAGATCTTGTTGTTTGCAGAAGCAGTGATGACACTGGTTACAAATTGATGTTAACCCACCCTGGAACAGTGGACTATAAAACAAGAATCTTTGGGAAAGTTATTTATTTAAAGCTTTTATATACTGTCCATCTACTAGCATCTCCAGACGGTCTTACAGTAAAAACTGCATAAAATGAAATGAAGCACAGCATCCACATAATTCCAATAAAATCAAACCAACATTAAAACCTAATGAAACATTAAAGTAATGGGAAAATAAAAATGTTTTAGCCTGACACCGAAAGGAGTGGAGTGGAATGGAGAAAGGAATAGAATATATAGAAATTATCCATATTTACCCCATCCAATGAAGATGTATCTCAGCAGCTGGTGTTTTTCAGAGACCACGGTGGCCAATAATCTATGGAGGTAAATTCCTTCCACTAAAAGCCAGAAATAATTTGCCCCAACAGTATAATGCAAGAAAAATGGGCCCACCTTGCAAAAGGCCAGCTTCTGCAGAAATGAGACAATGAAAAGAAAAACATTAAGAACACCATAAGACTTCTTTGTTGACAAACTCATTGCAGCCCTCCATTCCGGCTGCAAGTATAAGCACTGTCCTTTCGATACCAATAGGGTGGGGATCACTTTATTGTGGTTCTGAAAATTGGTGCTCGATCTTTGCTGCTCCATTTACTTCTTTGTGTTGTTTGCCTAAATTTCAGATAGAATCTGTATCTTGCCTATTTTCAATTGGGAATTTTAATTTTTAAAACTAGAAAAGTGGTCTATATGCTTAATTTGAATAAATCTGGTTAAGGCGCAGGCCTATTGCTTCCACAGCAATGCACATGAGCCTCTGATCACCCAGTGGCAGAAAAGAGGCACAGCAGGTGGCAACCTTCAAACCTCACAGCCTGCATTTTTTTTCTAGTTGCTTTTAGTTGTCGAGATTTAGTGCTGAGGAGGGGCAGAGGCTTGGACACCAACTGGATTCAGCATAAGTCCACAGTTCCAGCCTTCTCCCTGGTACCCCACTCCTGCAAGACCCTGTAGTGACCTTGGGGTCAGCCAGTGCGGTTCTCCCTCTGACAGCTGTGAGGGGTCTTGGTCTTCGGAGTTCCAGCTCCAAGAACGTGGGATCTCAGAGCTGGGATTCTAAAGAATCCTATGACCTCTCAGATACCAGAGGACTGTGCCTTAATGCATCAGCTATTTTTATGTTTGTATGTCAAATATTGTTACTTAAAAATTGGCACTTTGATCTCAAAGGTGGCAAGCAAAAGATATGCAGCATAAATTCAGTGCTTTAGATGAATGCAATCAACAATGACTTTCCTGCAAGCATAATGGTTGCCGAGATTCACTTGCAGAAACAAATGAAAAGCCCAGTTTTCTGCTTTGCCCACTTAGTATGGACTCTTTCCGGTATTGTCTGCCGTAATACCTGTGGACTTAAGATGGAAATCCATCCGTTTTCATCATTTGGCTTCTCGGAGTCAGTATAAACAAATAAATAAGTGTTGTGAGTTATGCTGTCTTTTATAAGAACTCCTATGGCTCTCAGGATGAATGAAGCAAACAGGTTCATATGGATGTAGTTTCTTGTGCAATGTAGCTTCCTGTTGAAAAAGAAAAGCGTACAAGATTAAGAATCTATTGCAGCTGGTTTTATTCTGATCTTCATTACAGTATGTTCTTGTTCTGCCATGAATGGTGTTGAAGAGCAACATTTTTCCTTGCTGGGGCCAACTTAATAACCAGAGATGCTGGGACGATATGCTCAGTCCTGCATCTTGTACAATTTCAAATAAAAGTATGCAGTTTCTGGGCAGCAAGAGTGTACCTGCTGACTCCAGTCTTGCCCCATACTGGACTGAACACACCTGATTTCCAGAGGTATTTGATGATGGACCAAAAGGGGTAATCATCCCCATCAGGAGTAAACAAATGAGGCTGCCCTTTCTTTGTATGGATAGCCTATTACCTTAATGAAATGATTTGTCATGATGGAGTAAATCATCATTAGTAAGGAGTAAATCCAGTTTGGGCAATATTTTTCGCACTTTTGACCCAGTTAGAATCCAGGAAGGCTCAAATGGATTGGAAAAGTACCATAATGTATCAAACTAATCTCTGGAAGTTTCACTGAAAAGATGTATAACAAACAGTGCTGAAATTAAGGGCTCAGTGTTCAGAGAAAAGTCCCTCAGCTTCCAGCACGTTTCAACCAACTCTCTGCCTACTCATGTATAGGGTTGAGCCCTACATCATACATTGAAATAACCTCATTGTTGTTTATGGAGAATATCATTCATAGGGACCCTGTTGTGCTCTCTTTTCTGTATATCATACACCCCTTTTTGTCATTTAGCCTATGAATAGTGATGTTCTACTTAGATATCATTTCTAGCGAAAAGGATTCCCCCCCCAATTCATCTTCCAGCACACTTCCTGTCAAATAGCCTGGTCTTATTGTCTGTGACTGCTGTCAGTAAGGAATAATTTTCACTGTAAAAAAACTGGGAAAAAAATATCTGGAAATGTCCATTCAATTTGAGGCTGCTTAGTAAAACTCTGAGCCCTAGCTAAGTAATACATATTTTTGTCCTGAGATACATACACACACGTGTGTGTGTGTGTGTGTGTGTGTGAAAACTATTATCAGTGGCCATCATAGCTATCAAAAATAGGCTACCTCATTTAATTATTTGAGATATCCAATAAAAATGAATTATTATTCATATAATTATTCAAGCACCCCATTGTTAGAACCCTTCTCATGCACTGCTATTTCGACTGGCTGCTTAGTTTGCTCAGGAACCTTTGGCAAGGAACTTGGTTTACTTGAACTTCCAAAAGGTTGTTGACAATGTCTGCTGGATCACCCCATCTAAGTTCTTACTGACACTCTTAAAGAACTCCACCAGGTTAGTGAAGCAAGACAAGACTTTGTGGACACCACACTGATTTTTTCCCCCAGCAAGGTTTGTCCCTCTGTGTGTTTACTTATTCTTTCTTTACTTATGCTTTAATAATCCTTAATGCAGTTTACCCAGAACAGATGTAAGCTAACTGACCTATAATTTCCCTGATCTCCCAAATCCCCTTTTAAAAATTGGCATTATATTGGCCATTCTCCAGTCCTCTGGTACAAGGACTGATTTGGGGAGCGTATTAAATATTTAGGCAGCAAGAACAGGAGGGCTTGTCATGTTCCCAGAGCATCGTTTGAGCCCTGCCTGGTACCATCACACACAGCTGGGCAGCTGTGTGTCCTGATTACAGCACCCACTGGATGGATTTCTCACGTTCCCATGATGGTGCGAACCATCACTGAGCTTCTGATTGCAGTGCAAACCCAGGCTCAAATTCCAGCTCCTGCAAACAAGAAAATAAACTGCAGAATAATTCCAGATCCCATATTCTACGGAAGGAGTAGTTATACTGACCTAAACAGCAACATGATGAACAGTGCTAAAACAAGGGAAGCAAGAGAGAAGGAATATCCCACAGTATAAAGGTTCTTGAGGATGATCAGCAAGGTGTGTTGGTCATTCTGGGAATAACAGAGAAGAGAAACTAGGAGTTAATCTTTCTTAAAGCCTGGGAAATGGGACCTTGTAGCAGATGCTGCTGGCAATGAGTATCTCCACAGCACTGATGCAGTTTGGGAACTTCATGTGCTTAAAAGGCACATATGGCGATCCATGAGTGGTTGTTACCCCAATACTTAAATGGAACCAATACATTCAGAGATAAGCTGGGGACAGCAGGAGGTGGCTGTCTCCAGCATACCATTGCTGTAAGCTCACAGAGGCATCTGGACAGCCTGTGCTGGAAAGAGAAAGTTGTAGTGCATCGTTCCCACTCCAGCGGCAGCCACCAGGTCGGGGGCGGGGGGCTCCAGAGAAGCACTTCTTAAGGTGCACAGTGCTGCTACTCAAAGGGAATTGCCAGTCCCTTGATACACATGGAATAACATTCTGCCTGTGTATCTGAGGGGGGGGGGGGGGTGTTAGGAGGGCTTCTCTGAACTGGGCATTTGGTTTTATTAGCAAGGTCCCTACTTGTGGGTGGGCATCCAAACTTTGCATTCTCTAGGGTAATTTTGGAGAATGTTCCATGGGTTCTGCGTGGACTGTATGGAGAGTAAACCGTGTCTCCTGGGGGATTTGGAGCCACCTGCATCCAATATAACTTCTAGCCACAAAGGGAATTTTTTCAAGGGGGTGGTTGGTTTGTTTGTTTGTTTTAGTCTAGTGTACAGGGAAAACCAGGGCTGTCCTCTGCCTCCCTTGATAGTTCTTCTGTCTTCAAAATCCTTGCCAGGTGCAATTATGCAGCGAAAAGACATGCACAGTTTTGTGCACAAACAGGCTTTATACCTAGCCTTTAGACAATATGGAATGGCTTTATATAGAGATGATTTGACATTATTCCTTAGTTGGTCAGAGTTCTCCATGCTAAAATTAAAAAGATTAATTGGTACCTTTGGAACACTTTGGGGTTATAATTGGTCAAAATTGGTCAAAATCTGAATTAATTAGTAGTTTTGAAGGCACCCATTTTCTTTCTGTCTTGGCCTTAGTCTCCAATGAAACTTCCTTACACTTGATGATCTCTTCCAGTTCCTTCATCTCTGCTCTTCCAAGCCTCAGTCTTCTTTGAATTTCTATGCTAAGTCTCCCTTTGAATTGACAATTGAGTCAATTATGCACAATTTCAACTTCTCAGTGTTAAAAGTAAATTTCTGTAATTTTTCTGTAGTTGTGATTTTTGTTTTCCTAATATTCAGCTGCAAACTTGCTTTTGAACTTTCTTCTTTCACTTTCATCAGCAATCATTTCAAGTCACTGATACTTTCTGCCAGTAGTACGGTATCATCTGTATCTCTTAAATTAGTGATGTTTCTTCTGCCAAATTTCACTATTTCTTCTGATCCTAATCCAGCTTTCCTTATGGTATGTTCTGTGTACAGATTGAACAGATGGAAAGATAAAATACATGATCTTTTTGTTGTTGTTGTTGTTAGTTGCGAAGTCGTACCCAACCCATCGCGACCCCATGAGCAACTTTCCTCCAGGCCTTCCTGTCCTCCACCATCCCCCGGAGTCCACTCAAGCTCACGCCGACTGCCTCAGTGACTCCATCCAGCCACCTCATCCTCTGCCATCCCCTTCTTCTTTTGCCATCTATTGTTCCCAGCATTAGACTCTTCTCCAGGGAGTCCTTCCTTCTCATTAGGTGGCCAAAGTATTTGAGTTTCATCTTCAGGATCTGGCCTTCTAAAGAGCAGTCAGGGTTGATCTCCTCTAGGACTGACTGGTTTGATCACCTTACAGTCCAAGGGACTCACAGGAGTCTCCTCCAGCATCACAGTTCAAAGGCCTCAATCCTTCGGCGCTCAGCCTTATGGTCCAGCTTTCATAGCCATACATTGCAACTGGGAAAACCATAGCCTTGACTATACGCACTTTTGTTGGCAGGGTGATGCCTCCGCTTTTTAGTATGCTGTCTAGATTTGCCATAGCTTTCCTCTCAAGCAGCAAGCATCTTTTAAGTTCTTGACTGCAGTCCCTGTCTGCAGTCTTGGAGCCCAGGAAAATAAAATCTGTCACTACCTCCATTTCTTCCCTATCTATTTGCCAGGAAGTGATAGGACCAGATGCCATGATCTTAGTTTTCTTAATGTTGAGTTTCAAGCCAACTTTTGTGCTGTCCTATTTCACCCGCATCAAGAGGCTCTTTAGTTCCTCTTCACTTTCTGCCATTAGAGTGGTATCATCAGCATATCTGAGGTTGTTGATATTTCTCCCAGCAATTTTAATTCCAACTTGTGATTCATCTAGCCCCACCTTTCTCATGATGTGCTCTGCATAAAAGTTAAATAGGCAGGGCAACAGTATACAGCCTTGCCGAAATTCTTTCTCAATTTTGAACCAATCAGTGGTTCCATGTCCGGTTTTCACTGTTGCTTCTTGACCCACATATAGGTTTCTCAAGAGACAAATAAGATGGTCTGGTACTCCCATCTCTTTAAGAACTTGCCACAATTTATGCCCCCCCCCCCCCCACAATTAACTTTATGGGTGAATGCAGTCTTGAAAATAGAGAGGCAGCCTTTTATATTGAGGAACTGGATTGACAGTTGAAATTATACTTTGGAGGCTGAAAAGGGGGGGGGGGTTACCTTTTGAACATTACAGATTAGATGCCATTTACTGTCTAGTGCTAGCTGGCAGCGTATTCAAAGGGTAGATTCCAATAGTTCATTGGAGTCTATAGATTAGTCAGCAGTGATGGGTGCTTCAGCTGGAGGAACTGATTTTTTATGGAAAACTAGGCATACAGTAGCTGTTTATAAACATCTTCTGCAGAGTAATGCAGTTTCAGAATGTCAGAGATGAATGAAACAGGGAACTGGAATGCCCTATACAGTTTAATCACTGGAAAACTGTTCTAGCTTTCATATGTACTAGTTCCACAGATTTAAAATAGAGGCATATTCAGCAGCAGTAGCAACAATATGATTCATTGCATATATCAGATGCCACACAGGCTTGCTAAGAAGAACCTGGCTAGTTCGGCTAGTGACCTGTTGAGGACTGTTGTGGCATCTGCTGTGGGCAAGGCCTGCCATGCCTTTCTTTTCATGGGAAGTTTGTGCTCGCATAAACTCTGCTTTTGAAAAATCTGTGCTAATAGCAAAAATCGGACCTGGATGATTGGAGATTAATGGGTGGACAGCAAAAGTGGGTACTGAGAGCCCTGATGGACCCTTGCAAAGAAAATTATACCTCAAGCTTGGAAAGAAAAACACCCATCACCTATCAGACAGAAGAGTTCCTTATTTATGCTATATTTGAATATATCTCCAGTGACTATCAATCGCATATGGATGCTCGTTAGTTGTGTGGACTGCTTGCATTAATGAATATGTTTGAATAGAAGTGTCAAATCTTTATTTCCTCTTTTTCTTATTGTCATATTAAAGTGGCGTAAAAGATTATTGTATGTGTTGTTTGATGTCATGCTCTTCCTTTTCCCTTCTTTCTTTCTTCTCTTTCTCCCCACCCCAATGTTTATTTATTTTTCTTTTATTGTTATATTGGCAAATTAAAACAAATATAACCCTTCCAGTGATATTATGCAGTTGACAGCCAGAAAGTGGCATATTTTTTAATTAAACTCTTGCAAGGCTCTTGTGAAAGTTCATTACAGCTCTGGTTAGTTTTGTGTGGCTAGATACTTTCATGTGTAGATTCCCACGTGAGATTAGAGGAAGCATATAAAAGGAAGCATCATCAAAGCAAAAATCATTCTGCGCTTGCTTTGTGTATGCATGGCTCACCTCTCTTACCAGTTTGATTTGTTCTCCGAGTTCCCTTTAGAACACCTTCTAAAGGAATCCAAGCCAGGAATCCAAAGCAGCACATACCGAGAAAGTGCTCAGCCTAAGCATCCAGTTTTAGCTGCTCTAATCCTCTTCCCTAAATAAATACATGCATAGTTCTACCAGGTTTTCATGTGGCAGAAGTTACGTCAGGTCTGGATCACAGTCATGCCGGCAGGTACCGTGCTCAGTGGAAACAATTTGATTGAGAAAGGATTTTGAGGACGGATTAATACAAAACCATAAAAAGGCAAGCCTGCTCACGCTTGTTGGGTTTATCTTCTGAAGGCATTCTGAGCGCGTGCTCCAAACCTCGCTGGTGTTTCCATTGGTTTTCCAAACACCTTGGTCCAGGCAGACTCTGTATACTTTTATTTCATTTCCTAAAAGTAAGCAGACACAGGCACGGAGGTCAAGTTACAGACCGCATTTTGTAGACATGGTAAAGCTGTCATCTTTTCACTGCTTGCCTGGAAACCCCAGAAAAAGAGCACTGGTTTGTTCTAAAGGGCTTTCTGTAATGTCTGTTTATTTGGGAGGTAACTGTAGAAAGTTTAATATTTATCAGTGTATTAACACTGTCAATTCCCCTAATTCCTTATTTTTAAAGCCTTCTTCAGTGCTTAAATCCAACACTTTGGGCAAGATTGTATTTCCTTTTCTGTGCTTTAAATTGCGGTTGGGTTGGGAATTCATGTAGCATAATTAAGCAATTCAAGTTCTAAACAATGCCAACAGAGCAGATCTGGCTTTCTGTGCTCTCCAACTCGGATGAGCTCACCGGCTCTGCCATTGCCTGCTTCACCACCTCCCAGGATTACTGCCTCCCTGCTAGCACAGACTCCCCCCAGTGAATGGTGTGCCATGACCATGTGGAAGGCCACCACCAGGCTATGGAATGCGCTCCCCAGAGAGGTCCACCTGGCACCGACGTTGTACTCCTTCCAGCGCCAGGTAAAGACCTTTTTATTTAACCACCATTTTAATAATCAAGGGGTTTAGATGTTTTAAGATTTTTTTTTCTTTCCTCAAAGTCTCACTTTTCATTTTCTATCTTCCATTTTTTCCTTCCTTTTCTTTTTAGTTTATGAGGTTCAGTTTTATATGGTTTTATTTTTATTTATTTATTTTTTATTTTTTTGATTTATATCCTGCCTTTTTCCTACAAAGGGCTCAAGGCAGCTTACATTATCTCTCCTCCTCCATCTTATCCCCACAACAACAACCCTGTGAGGTAGGTTGGGCTGAGAGACTGTGACTGGCCCAAAGTCACCCAGTTGGCTCCATGGCCGAGCGGGGACTTGAACCCAGATCCTCTGAGTCCCAGTCCCATGCTCTTAACCACTACACCACACTGGCTCTTTAATAACTGTGGTTTTATTATTATACTGTTTCAATTTTATGCTATGTAAGCTGTCCTGAGTGCTTGTCCGAAGGACAGGATACAAATGTTTGTAATAAATAAATAATAAATATGAGAACGGAGGGGGGATCTAGCTGCCAGCTTTGTTTCTGCACATTGGACTGTTCTCGTGGATAATATAAAAGAAAAGAGCAACTTTTCAGGGGGTTAGGTGAAAAAAAGGGCAAAACTTCTTCCAGCCTGACAGTCAACATCATCTGAGAGATCTTAGGAGCTGCATTACAGTGAATTCCAGTGAAAGCCAAGCTGGTGTGTTGGGCTGGGGACTGAGGAGATGCTTGGCCTGCTTGGCCATGAAACTCACTGGGTGACTTGGGCCAGTCATGGACTCTCAGCTCAACCTACTTTACAGGGTTGTTGTTGTGAGGATAAGATTGAGAGGAGGAGAATTTTGTAAGCTGCCCTGAGTTCCTTGAAAGGAGAAAAGGTGGGATGTAAATTAAATTAAATTAAATTATTAAACTGAATTAAATTAAAGAAATTTAGCTCTGGAACTGAAGAGATAGATCAAAATACCAAAAAGCTGGCATATTTTAGCTTAAGCCCTCTTCCCAGCAGAAACGTAGACTTCACAGAAGTGTTTTGGCCTTTTAGAATGGGAACATGTGTACAATAGCCAGGAAAGAACCAAAAGATCTGCAGTTGTGGGGAACTACATGGGACTTGGAGAATGGGGGCATGGGTTTCTGGGTTTGGGCCTGCCCCCAGGCAGTGAGCTTTGGACCCTAGAGGGTAGATTTGGACCCTGGGCTACAGGTTCTGCACCCCTGGGTTCAAAGGAACTGGTTTCGGCAGAGTTTTGGCTTACTCACAGAGGTGTAACATGCAGTCTTCTCACTATATCAGTTAACCACTAGTAACTCACAGAGGAGTATGTGTCAGCTACACTCACCAGCTGACACATTATGGTGTGTGAGGGAGGTATGAAAACTTTGCCTGCAGTGCTTGGGCTCTGATGACCACTTCCACTTGTGTGGTGGCAAATTATGAAGCGCAAGGGCTCATCATGACAGTCCCCATAGCCATCTCCACAAGGGGTACTGAACGACTGAGGCAACTGTGTGGCTCCATCTCAACAAACCACAGCTAGCGGTGTTGCCGAACCATAGAAAAGTGGCGTCGGAATGGGTCCATAAGGCCATCGGGTCCACCCCTGCCCCATGCAGCACTCCCAGTTAAACCATCCCTTTCAGAGGGCTGTCCAGTTGCATCTTGAATGCCTCAAGTGTGGGAGAGCCCACAACCCCCTAGGTCATTGGTTCCATTGTTGTATTGCTCTAATGGTCAGGAAATTCTTCCTAATTTTCAGACAGAACTTGAGCCTGTTATTCTGTGTCCTGCTCTCTGGGATGATTGAGAATTGATCCTGGCCTTCCTCTCTGTGGCAGCTTTTCAAGTACTTGAAGAGCACTGTCACATCTCCCCTCAGTCTTCTCTTCTCGAGGCTGAACATGCCCGGTTCTTTCATGCTCTCCTCACAGGGCTTTGTCTCCATATCCTAGAGCATCCTTGGTGGCCTCCTCTGAACCTTTCCCAGTTTATCTGTTACCTCTGCTAAGGGCAGTGGTACTCCTTGCAATGGCTAATTTTAGAATAATTCAATTAAACTTCCCTCTCTGGTGGTATTTTAATGAAGTTTAGCATTGTTTGCAAAATCAGTATGGCCAGGAAGGTGTTTTCGTGCTACTTAAAAGATGATAAAAATTGCCCCTGCTGAAAGGGGGCTGAGCTATGGTAGGTTCAGCTCCACACTAGCGAGGCATCTTGAAAGGTTCCAGAGAGAGGTTCTAAAGGTGCTGGCATGGACAGGAGCTCTGTATGCACATAAAATGCACCATCTCTTCAATCAGCGTGCAGTTCAGTGTACAGATTGCAGTCAGCAATTATTTATTAGCGCCAGTAGCTGAACTACCCCAGCTTTGAAGTAGCAAGCAGGTGAGCCAGCTTGCTCGGGATGATTTGGGATTTGTGTGGCTGTGCCAAAGTAATAAAAGAGTGGCAAATTTTGATGGTTCTTTCCATCCGTCGGAGAAACTAAGTGATCAGCGCCACATGCCAGGGCTGGGTAACTGACGCACTCATCTATATAGTTGAATATTCTGTTTTATGGATGTAGTTGCCCCAGAAAAAAATTGCATGAGTCAGCTTCTTAATATATGATGCTCACAACTATGCACAGAGTGTGGCAGGATCAGGTTTCTGAGATACGTAATTCAGACATTTCCCCAAGATTATGCTATCAGGGTGAAAGATGCCAGTTAACAACCTCTTTACAGGACAAAGGTAGCCAACACAGAGCTCTGGAAGGGAAGAGAAATGTTATCATATATCACAGTTTGGTCATTAGCATCTATTTCCGACCATCACATTACCATTTTTTATCCAAGGTAAATAAGGTGGACAAGGAACAGAGACATTTCCTGGAGATGAATGTGGCCAGCAAATAAAACGATCAAAACTCCCATTGCAATATACTTCTGAGACAAAAAGAAAAGGTGGAGGGGAGGGGAGGGGGAGAGAGAGAAAGAGAGAGAGAGAGAATATATTTTTAATGTTAATGAAAGGTTACATGCAATTGATCACCAAGTAATGCAGTCTGTCTAAACCAAGCCATACTATAATTGCATCTGTGATGCATAGGACTGAGCGTCTGGTGGTATTTACATTGAATTAATATATGTGATGTAGTTTACTGTCTGATTATAAGCATTCCACTGGAAGTGTAGCGGGATGCTTTCTTATGACCAAAGAGCATAAGAAGACTTCTGATGCTGGTTTAGACCAAGAGTCCATCCAGTCTAGCATGCTTTTCAAACAGGAGCAAGCCACTAGAAATCCACAAGGAGGACATAATGGCAAAGTGCCCTCCCCATCAACAGGTATGCATAGTCACGGTGCCCGTGTTCTTCTTTTCAACACATGTAATTGAGCCTGGCTCAACCTGACATGCAGCTATCTCAATTCTCCTTCCCCCTGCTCCCATTTTGCACACCGATCATACAGTTCACTGCACAATTTACTGCACTTCGGTGCTGCTGCTCATTGGTCTACAATGAAGTTTTCTGCAGGCAGCCCCTTTGCCATTTTACAATATGCTACCATTTGGTTGGTGCTACAGATTAGGATGCCCACTTAAATGGAAAGAAGCCAAGTCTTTCTAACCAAAGTTCCCATCAACATTCTCTAAACAAAGAACCTGTGGGAGGCCGGATGGGGTGTACAGGGAATGGAGCCAACAAACAGAAATGACCAAAACAAGCAAGTGGCTGATTCTCATCTTGACTCTGTCAACGTGTTGTCTTGCGGCATATCAACAGGAAATACCGACAGGAAGTTAATTAAGGTGAGTGAGAAAAAAACCGATCAAGAATTTTCCAAGAGGCCAGAGGATTGGTTAAAAAGTTCAGACATGAATAAGCACCAAAACCCTGATGATGCTCTGCATTCGTCGCAGCAGGTTTTAGAAAACAAATGAACCGACACACGCATACACGGGCTGATTATCATTTTGCCCACATTGTCTTCTTGTGTGTCGACAGGAAATTAATGAAGATATGTGAGAGAATATAAATCAGGTCAGCCCATGAAGTTTGAACAACCACAACCACATAAAATAAGTAAACAGCCAGAGAAGGTAGCAAGCATGATTATCTCTGCCACATTACGGAGGAAGGATAAAGTATGAGAGAACAGTGGCGTGCCTAAGACCACTTAGCAAGCTCTTGTTGAGATTAGATCCTATTTGAATTGGAAACTTTCCAGCTCACACTCCCAGCCTACATTATGTTACCCTTGCACTAGCTTTGGCAGTACTGTTGTCCGATAAAGTCTGAGCCTAGGTCCAGCTTCAAAGTGTGCAACAGCGCTGGCAGAAGGAACCCTGCTGAATGGGGTAGGCTGGGGAGCAGGGGGCTGCAGGGGATGGGAGTCCTCCAAACTCGATGGAGGGATCTTTGTGTTTGGCCAGGATGTACGGAGCATATAAAATAAATAAATGCATACAAATAAATATTTATCAGAGAGATTGGGGGAATAGGATGCTAACAGGACCCAGAAGACAGAAAGGCCAAGGGACAGGCAGCCCAGAGTGGTGAATGAAAGCAGTACAATCCCATTGTACCTCCTGAGAGTCATCTGCCATCCCACCTGCACTGTTTTCTGCTTCCTGGTCAGAACTTTATAATTCCAGCAGGCATCTGGCCTGCCTAATCCTCTAGTTGATGGTTATTAGAGAATCATAAGAGCTGGAAGGGATCTTGCAGATCATCTAGTCCAATCGCTGATCAATGCAGGTTCTGCCTGGGGAATACAGCTATAGCATCCATCCTGCCTTTGCTAAAATACTTCCAGCGACAGAGAACCCACCACCTGAAGCAAACTGTACCACTGCTGAACTGCTAACACTCTTTGGAAGTTTCTCCTAATTATCTGGTAAGCCTTTATTTTTGCATGCTTTTCGCCAGCTCTGCCTGTTTGTCTCTGTTTTGTTGCAGCCATCTGATTTTATTGTTGTACCTGTTACAAGTCATCCCAAGCAATACAGACGCATTGGGTGGACTGGATTCTAGGCCTCTTAAATACCACAAAAAGGGTTTATAGGTACGTGTAGTGGAAGAAAGGGAGTGGCACTTTGGAGCTTGGGGAAGTATGTTGAATTTAATTCTTGGTATTGATTTTGGGAACACTTTATATTAATCAGAGGTCAGGGGCATGCCCGGGTTGTTATGGAGCTGAAAGAAAGCAACTCAATCTTACCTAGCAAACATGTCAGAAAGGCCACATTTTGTCATTTATTAACTGCCCTGAGGTTGCATCTGCTCAGTTACACTTTTCAGGATTTCTCAGGCTCTCACATAAAATGATTCAGCCGAAGTGGGGAAGAAAGGAGAACCCTGCACTAAGACTGCTCTTCTGAGAGTCCAGATCCGGCTCTTTGGCACCGAGGTCCTTCTTGCATGCAGGCAAGTGGGGCGCATGGCAGAGATGCAGGCTTGCAGATCTGAGTTTCGCCAGATGGAACGGCACTTTCTGTATCACAAAGATAGTCTGACACCATGAGCTAAAGTGTGGGATGAATGTGTAACAAGCACTGCAAAAGTTGGCAGAGATAAACATGCCCGTAACTGAGCTTGTGCCTGTTTGGACCTTCTGCCATGGTGGTATCACTCCGCATCTCTTAGGCATGACTGCGGAACCACTAGGCATGGCTTGCAAGCGTACCATTTCCCAAACTAAATTACTGAATTCTGGCATTTGTTTATTTGATTGGTGTGGCTCTTGTCTGAGGCTGGAATTGTATTAAGCTAAATGTGCAGTCACTGCCAGAAGAAAGCAATAGCACTTAGGGTTCCCTCCTGCCCATGGCAGCTCAGACACTCTGCTCCAACCTGATGCCTCCCAGGTACTTTGAAGTACATCGTCCAGGTCATTGACTGAACAGGTTAGGGCTGATGAGAGCTGAAGTCCAGACTATCCGGAGGGCACTAGATTGGAGAAGGCTGATCTGGAATGACTCACACGTGTTCTGAATGTCCCAGTACTGTGTGTTTTCCTCTTAATTACCATTGGTGCTGCCGACACGTGAATGTACAATGACCTGTCAGCAAGGCATGGGTGAGCTTAGTGGGCCTAATGGATGGAGGGCAACTCCATCTGTAGATCCTGTGTTCAGCCCTGTCCATTGCAAGGTTATGCAGTCATTCATTAATTATATTTATATTCTGCCTTTTTTCCTGCAAGGAACCCAAGACCTAATCTTCCTCTCCCCCCTCAGTTTAATCTAAGTTGCAGTTCTGATATGAAACCATGCAAAGAAATCCAGTCTGTTTTAACAGTTTGGTTGTTCCAATGGATTGACTGGAACATTTCCAAGTTTAAGTAGATGGCATTAAGCCAGTGAAAAACAAAGCAAGCGCTTTGGTGAACAGTTCCTGCAGGCTTGTAGATGATCTGTGGCTGGCCCCTGCCGGAAATAATGAATCTATTTAAGGCAATGCCGGGTTTGCATGGATTTCGTTGCAAGCATTGTGCCATGTTTAGATGGAAGCCTGCTTTTCTTCAGAGTGGTGGGATCTTTGCCATTGACTTAAGTGGTCTCTTTCTGATGTATTTATGGTGCAGAATGGTCCCCATTAGTGCAGATTCAGTTTGTGTTTTTATTGTATGTTTATGCAATGTCACCACATGGTCTTTTTATATAAGTCCTTATTCCCAAGATGGGGTGGGGATGGGAAAGGTACAAGATATCGCAGGGTATGTGAATGCGTAGTGCAAAGCAGATAATAATGCAGTCCTGGGATGATGCAGTCCTATGAGAACTGCACAGATATATGAGTGGATTCTGCAATGTGGAAAATGAATTGTGAGCCAGTATTGCATAGTGGTTAGAGTGTTGGACTGGGACTTGAGAGAGGCCCCACTGAGCCATGAGGGAGACTGGGTGACTTTAGGCCTGACCTACCCTGTGAGCCTACCCCATCTCACACGGATGCTGTGAGGATGAAATTGAAAGCAGGGAGAGAATTATGCGAACCACATTGGTTCCTTGCAAGAAAGAAGGCAGGAGATGAAAGATGACAGGCAATAAAGATTCAGTTCAAATGTGCTGCTCAGAATCTTGGAAACTTGAACCTCAGTGTTCTGAGAAATGTTTAATCATTTGTAGGTCTTATGGATGCATTTGATTTTATTAATGTGATCATGTTTCAAACGAATTTCAGCACAATAAAGGGTCAGCAATGAGGAATGGAGGCAAGCATAAAGTCCCCCTTCCTGGTAGCCTTCTTCTGCAGCAGGACATGGGTTCATCTAGCTCAGAGACGAGAACCAAGCAAGGGATGTGGAGCCTCAGGACCAAGGGGCAAATCTGATCTTCCAGGGCCCTAATCTAGCTCTGGGGTCCTGCAGGTGGTCACAGACCACAAACCCTTTCCCCTATTTGACCATCTCCCGGCTGCTGTGCCTTCTCTCCATCCCATTCCAACAGAATGGGATGCCTTCCTAAAGCTTGGTGCCTGGCAGTAGGGTCTTTAGGCTAAAATATGCTGATGAGGGGATTTGTGGCTCGCCCCCTTTGCCTATGACTCCCCCCCCCACCACATGTGGTTCCCGAGAACCTCTCTGAAGTTGGATTTGGCCTTCACGTTGGAAGAGGTTCCCACAGAACAACCTCGGTCCATTTAGCCTAGAATCACCAAGAATTCTGACTAGAACCTTCTTCATGCAAAGTGCATGATCTTTAACATTGAGCCAGCATCTCTCCATAGCTGGCAAAAACTGTTAGGAGCTTACTAAATTCTTCTTTGCATACAGGTAATGGTGCTTTTGAAGTCTATTTGCTTTCTTACCCGTATCATTTTTCGGCGTCTGCAACCTTCTCAGACAAGCTTCTTTATAACTAAACCAGCTAGCTTTCGTCGCCTCAAAATCTCCTTTGACCTGCAGATAAAGGAATATTATATATCAACCACTGAAGTATGGAAGCTACATGCTTCCAAAGAGTGATCATAAGAAAACAAGACCAGCATTTTGTATCAGAATCCTGGCCATGGCATCTCTAATTCAGTTCCGAGTACCTCCAAACCTCATTTTCACAACCCTTGCTCTGTCCAGCAAACAGTGCTGCTGTGAGAAGATTTTTGCCAGCATTTTCCCTTCAGTGAAGCAAATAGGACATGTTAATTACCAGTTAGGAAACTGTTGACAGCTCAGCGTGTCCCATTAGGCGCTGTGGCAGCTCAGTGAAATGGCTGACTTTGAACACCAGGCATGAAATGAAATGTTACGGTATGACAGACGGAAGCAGCTAAAAGCAGATATGCTCAGCTTAAATGAGCAGGTGTCTGCCGGCAGCCTTTGCTTCGATTTAAGCAGAACAGCCATTCTCCTCTCCTCTTATTTGAGATGGCACATGGTCAATAGCCCTGCCATGGCCCCTGCCCCCTTGTCTTCCCTCTTCTCTCCCAGCAATGCCATTTTATCCCCCCGTTTCCTTCCGGGGACTTGCGCTTCCCTCCCAACCACACAGGGCTTTTGTGTGGTGCAAAAAGAAGAGGAGCTGGGCTGGATCAGGCCAAAGACTTATCTGGCCCCACATCCTGTTATACCCAGTGACTAGCCAGATGGCTACAGGAAGCCTGCATGGGGGCCATAAGAGCATCAGCCTGCTCCCACTGTTTCCCAGCGGAGGGAGGGAGAACAACTTTTTCCCATGAATAACAAATAGAACAGCTGGCCTTTCCAGCCAGCCCTTCTGGCTACCTCAGGTGGCAGATGCTGCCAGTCACTGGAAGATGTTGGATGGCAGAGCCGTGCGCATCACATGGCTGCCCTCCAGAAGAGAGCGAGTGAGTCCGCTGCCAGTCCGGTCAGCTTCTACACACAGCAGGAGGCACCATCTTGCCTGCCTTCAGCAGTAAAATTTCTTAGGACTGCTCTGGCCAAGAGTTCTGCGCCACCTTTAAGACTGACGTATTCATTATGACTTAATCTTTCATAGGCTACAGCCCGCTTCAAGAGATGCCTGACAGTGCTGCACTGAACCCCGTTCATGTGTGCATGTGTGCGTCCACAAAGGGCAGTGGAAGAGCTGAAAACGGCCGGGTCAGAGGGAACTGGGAGGCTGAACATGCTTGCAGCGATAATTGCCTTCTTTATGGTAACTGTTCACAAAACAGTTGTTGGGAGATAATACAGCTATCCTATCACTGATTAACAGATGTAGTGTCAGCTGAAAAGAAACAAAACAAAGCACCCCCTCCTCCTGTATATAAACCACAGCAGAGTTGAACCTCTCAAACTGTGGCTTAGCTGCTTTCCCTTGAAATCTTTCTATGAAGTTCCTTTGTTCAAGAATGGGCACCTTACATTCAGTGAAAGAGAGCCCTGGAAGGTTGAAGTGTTCCCCCAGTTTATTTGGTTTTTTTACTATCGCCATTTAGGATACCAGACTGGTGTCTGCGTATTCTTCTGCACAGAGGCCAGCAAATCATGGATTCCATTTCCTTTTCTCTGTTCTTTCATTTGCTTTTCCTCAGTTTCCTCACCTTTTGTTTTCTCTCTCTTCCCCCTTATTCTCCTCCTTCTATGTCTGCCATCTTCGTATTTGACCTTCTTCATCTTATCTTTCGTCCACTCCCATTTTTTTCTGAGTGGAGCGAACTCCTGGCATCTTCTCTGGACCAAAGCTTTTCCTTTGTCCTCTTGATGTCTTCTGTTTCTGATCAAAATAACTCTGGTGCCCTGGTGGCATGTTTTATCTTCTGGCTGAGGTGTTACTGTCTAGTGAAGTAGACATCCTCCCTCTCTCTCTCTCATTCTCTCTCTCTCTCTCTCTCTCTGCGCGCGCGCGCGTGCACACACACACACACACACACATTCTTTTATTATATATAAATAATAGAAACTCTTTTTGCTGGACACAGCTCCAGTGACCTTGCCAGGTAAAATATTCTTAAGTCCTCAGACAGATACATTTCTCTTTCTCAACATCTGTTCCCCCACACCCCCTGTGACATGCCACTTACTATATCTATCTGCCAGAACTCACAGTAATCTCAGATTCAGGACGTGAGCTTTCTTGGCACCATAAATCAAAGAATTACAAATACTAGTATGCTGGTTAATATTATAACTCTAGACACATTTACTAGAACTTAAGCTCCATTGAGCTCAGTGGGACTGATACCTGAGAAAACATGCATTGAATTGTGTTGCAATTTGTGTAGCCAATTGTTTTGAGCCAAAAAAGAAAAACAAAAAATGTCTGGTGATTGAAAAATGATAGGCTGAGAGTCTCCAGTTCATTTTATTGTGGACCACTCTCCATGTTCGTCACATTATGAACTAAGCATATGGCAATAAAACCACTCAAATAATACACCCTCCCTAGGTAGCTCCCATGTTGGCAGATACTGGCTTCACCAAACTTTCTGTCTTCCAACTTCAACTCCTATCAGCCCCAGCCAGCATGGCCAATGGACAGACGTACTGGCAGCTGTAGTCTAATGGTTTGGAAAGGCTGCAGGGTACTGAAATGGTACGCATGTTTCAGCTTTTATCTCTGCAGCACAGGATAAAAGCAGGAAACATGGAATTCTTACTATACGAACACAGCCTCAGTAAGACATGTGTTCTATTCTACCACTGTAAACCAATTTAATTTGTGGATTTCCTTTACAGAATTTGGGAAACATAATTATGTGAGGAGTTTAGGGATTTTCAGGAAAGGGATTCAGACAAATGGCAGTTTCCAGATTTTCCTAATGGAAACCATTGTTGCTCAAAATAATTTTAAACTGACTTAGGTTAGACAAGTACGTAAACTTTTTAAATGTTGGAATTTCAAGCCTAACTTCTCCCATATGAAAAGAGAATCAGCAGGACTGACTTGAGTGACCATACTTTTTTCTAACACTTACTTTTTTCTAATGTGCAAAGGACAAAGGGGTCAAGACATGATGCAAATATTGATGCTAGGAGGGCCACTTAATAAAAAGAATGGAAATTGGTCATTTATAACCTATGTAATTTGCGTAGTGAGCCATCAGAGGAGATGAGTGATGTTTTGGGTAAAAATTCTCCATTAATGTTCTGTTTGCCGCACTGTTATAACCTCTGGTTTTATCAATGAATTGTGACTCATTGTCATTAATTGGCTTACCAGCGACTGCCCCAGTGGCAACCCCGTTAAGGAAAAGTACTTTAGCTGAAGATGATTGAAGGGATGGCTGTGCTCTAATGTAATTTGGTTTTTAAACTGATTTAACTGTCATGGCTTGGCTTTTAAAAATGGGGTGGATTGTTGCTGAGTGAAGCTGAGACTTCTTTATTAAAGATACATATTCTACTTCCTTTCCGAGAACTGCTATTCCCTTTTATTATGGCATGGCCTCTTCACAAATGCAATTCCCCCACAAATGCCCCCTCCCATCCTGCTCATGTACTCCTAGAAAGAAAATATGATGATGAACAGGAAACAGTCCTCATCTTCCCTATGAAGAAAGGAAACAAATCCCGTTCCCACATTGCAGATGAGGACTAGCATTGCTCGTTAAACCGTTCATGCTCATATGTCAGAGCTGTCACAACTTCTGCTGAACCGAGGCCCTAAATCTGGCTTATCTGAGTTCCGATTGGATTTGTTATTGTACTTAATTATACCACAGTATCAATATAGGAACTAGAAATCTCCAGAGAACTTTCACTACTATCCTAACCAAAAATGGAAGATTAGTTGCTTTTTGACAATTGCCCAAATTGTCAGCTCAGCATTTCTTGAACAGAAGCCAAAGCTTGAGAGCTTCCTTTAAAGTGACTGCCCATGTTGGAAAGCATTCCAGCGTAAAAGTCATTTGTCACTTAGCTGAATTAATGCCCTTCCCACATGTGTGATGACTTGAGTTGTTAGCAACTTGGCAGACGTCCATGTGCTGGCAGGGACAAACACTTGCCTTAGCTTCAGCAAGACAGAAACACTACTTCTGGACTGGTTACAAAATTCTTCCAGAGAGCACAGAATATGAATAGAGTTATCTTTTCCCATTTTCCATCCAAGTGTTCCCTGCGTTTCATTTCGTATTGTGAACTTATAACCTATTTGGTCAACTGACTTCAGTTTGCCTGTTCCTTTCCCTTATCTGGTGGAATCTCATTCTTCTGCCTCTAGGAATGGGTGGCCCATTTGCTTTAGTGCTGTTGTTGTTTTTCATTGATAGGGAGAGCAATGACCCCCAGGAGAACATCCTGGGGAACAAAGGACTGCTTGGAATCCTGCTGCAAAGACTGTAGATGCTACGACAAAAACCGTGTGCTCCGATCTCCCATCCCCTCACAGTTGCCGAGGAATGCATGCATGCGCCGCCACATTTCTGGCAAATGCTTCAAGCTGTGAGGGAAATCTCTGCTATATAACCGATGATGGATATTCCCCTTAAGCTAATGATATGCAGGCACTAGTTGGCCACTCAAAGAACCCTCTAAGCCAAGAAGTGCTCCTACCCAGAGGCAAGGTGCAGTCACCAGCTAAGGTGGGGGCTGTGGGTGACCCTTCCTGCAGCCTGGGGGCAGAGGGACAGGGGTGCTTCTGGATGAAGCTATTATTATTATTATTATTATTATTATTATTATTATTATTATTATTAATCACCCTGCCTCATTCACAGAATTTGGGGAGGTGTAGACATGCCTGCCATCCACTTTAATCCTACTATGCTCTTTTGCCACTTCTTCTGCCTTTTTCTAACAGCAGAGAATCAGTTGGGGCAGGGGGAGTATGGGATAATTAGACAAATTGGGAAAGCTTCCCATTGGAACAGCTACAAGCCCTTCAGTGGGAGGCACCCCAGTCTGTGCCATGAGACACTCGAAGAAGCTCCATTGGCATGAATGGAAGCTAAGCTTGTGCTCATTTCTAATGGGGTTTGCACTGGAAAACCGCC